AACAGTGGGTAGGGGATGCACAGAGCACCTTAGGCAGTTAGAAGTAATGAACCAGCTCCATCAACATCTGCATGGGAGATGGCAAGAAGATCAAGGTGAGTACAGAGGCAAGTTACAGGGTAGGAAGGGATTGTGGGGGACTTCATGTTTATCTGCAATAGTTTATTTCTTTGATTGAAAATACCTGAAAGAAGACAAAATAATGGCAAATATCAATTCTGAGTAAGGGGGAAAACGGGAGTATTTGATATACTATCCTCAAGACTTTTCTGTATTTTTAAAAAACCCTCAAGTGAAAGGGGTGACGGATGCGCAGAGATTGCCAAAAGATACTAACAAGAGATTTTGGGAAGAGCTTCCGGGTTGGGACTCACTTTCTCCCCTCCCAGCATTCACATTAGTTCATATCAGTGGAGCTGACTTGCCTTCCTTTATGATTGTTGTTCTTAAGATTAGATTCAATAGCAAGAAATTTTGGAATTTCTTATTTTTAGCCCATAAAATGAAACATTTCCACAGAATGTAAAATAAATGTTGGAGTTGAAGTCTGTCCGGTTTGTTCCACCTAACTGATCCCATCTACAGACTGAAGTTTTGCAAGACTGTTCCGCAACTGGGGTCAGGGAGGTGACTCACTGTGTGCTCCCTCTCCCTAACCCCACCTGTTTGTCCAGGGGAAGTCGGGTTAGAGAGATTGTTAAGGGCCTCTTTGGAAGGGAAGATACTTCCGAGAGCGCCGCCCTGAGGGACTGCCTTAGCCCAGTCAGTGCTGGTGGGGGTAGGTGGCAGCCAGCTTCTGCTTACACTCTGTAACATTTTATTGAACAGCGTGAATGTTCACAAGCCTTCCTTTGCATTCCTACAGAGGAAGCAGCTAGGGCGAGTATTTGCAATGTTGTTTATGGTCCCCTTTTGACACATGTAAAAAATCTCATGCCTGCTTTTAACGTTATCTGCAAAGTCAAAATAAAGACTGAATAATAAGCAGATCGAATATGCCCCAAACCTGGTTGAGAATCTCTACTCTCGAGCTTTTCAAGTGCCAGTACTGCCTTGAAACTCCTGGGTTTCTGGCAAATCTTGATCTTGGGTTTCTTGGTGACTTGATCACCCATAGGTTTATACCTCAGGTGAGCTTGTACCTTCTCTCAGCTTCTGTCTCCCTTCTCTGGGAAAGTGATTATAAGACCTGCCACTTAAGGCTACTATGCAGATTCTGGGAGGCACTTAGCACAATTCCAGTTACATAAAATAACAAAAATGAAAAGACCTAGAAACTTTCATCCTAGTAATAGCTTTGGGAAGTAGACTAATCCCTTTCTCCCCATTTTATAGATGAGAATACTGAGGTTCAGACTTACAGTTCAGCAAGTTACTGAACCTAACTAAGCACAGTCTGAGTCAGAGTCCTCTCATGGTGCCATCCCTGGCCACGTGTCTGAAAGTGAGCGGTAGATTGTGAGTCTCTGCCTGAGTCACTGAGCCTAGAAAACAGGGTCCAGAGTGATCTAATTCACGTGGCTCCTGGGGACTCTTTGGATCTAGTTTCTGCAGTGCTGTGTGTTCTGTGGACTATTGTCACAGGGCTGTTAAGTGTTATTTCAGAGATGGGACCAAGTCTCCTATTCCGTGTCTTCAGAGAAGTAGTCTGTATGTCAGGTGAAGAGTTGATAAGGGAGATCGTCCCTGCAATGTCTCAATCGAGCTTTAACTTTCACCAACCAACTTTCTTACCAGCGTGACAAAAAAGAAAAACAAGAAGAAACTAAATAGACTTCATCTCGGCTCCCTTGATTCCTTGCAGTTGTTCACTTTCTCAGGATGCTGAACCTCTTAGCCTCAGTTTCCCCCTCCACGAAGTGAGGGCATTAGTATTTTCCCTGCGTGATTTGCTGATCAAAATAAAATCAAACGCTGTGTGAAGACCTTTTGTAAACTTTAAGGCAGTTTTTTTTTCTCCTGCCCTCCAGCCTGAATCTGTTCCTTCCTCAAATGGGCAGGAGGACCGTGTCTGTTGTTCTTTGCAACGCATTTCTCAGCAGAGCAGCCCAGCTGCGTGAGCAGAGAGGAAATCAAATGGTCCCAGTGAAGGAGGAACAGACAGTGCTCCCAGGCTGAAGAACTTACTGAGTTTCTAGCACTTGTTACGTGAATCTCTACTTATTTATTGGGTTCCAAGCTAAACTGACTCCAGAAGACCTGGAATCTTCTCTCTTCTCAGTTTTCAGTCACGAAATCTTGGTCAAGTTACTTAATGTATCTGAGCCTCGTTTAAAATACATGGTAATGCTCGCCTCACTGGCTTGTAGCAAATGAGACATGTCACGGCAGACAGCCCGAGCAGCTGACTTTTCCTCACCCTGTTTTACTTTTGTCTCCCTCTGTTTACCTTTCTAAACCTCTGTGCCTCAGCCTGCTTTTCCATATGTAACGGGCATGATAGTGCAGGTGCTACTTAGCACACAGGGTTGTTGTGTGACTTTGGAATGGAGGCTCTGCCAGGGCTTTGAACACGGTGAAGAGTAGCATAAATCCTTGTATAGGGTTATTCTCCGGCTTACTGACCTCAGGCTGGTGGGTTGCGTGCTGGTCCTCACTGATCTGGGCTATAGGGTGCAGCAGCCACATTCAGGTCCTTCGTTTATTTTTTCGAGCCAGAGCCTCACTCAGTTGCTCTAGGGTTGAGTGCTATGGCGTCATAGCTCACAGCAATCTCAAACTCTTGGGCTCAAGTGATCCTCTTGTCTCTGCCTCCCGAGTAGCTGGTATAGGCACCGGCCACATGCCTGATTGGTTTTTCTAATTTTAGTAGAGACAGGGTCTTGCTTGCTCTTGCTCAGGCTTTTCTTGAACTCCGCAGCTCAGGGGATGCATCTGCTTCAGCCTCCCAGAGTGGAGAATGGCCTTTAATATAACTTCTCTTATCTGTTACTCTCCCATTTCCCTGCGAGGCTCTGCTGTCTCCTTACACCTGTCACCCCTATAGTTCGCCCTCTTCTGTCTCTCTCAATCCCTCTCTGGGTCACAATGCACAGGACCATCCACCCACTATTGTCTGGATACAGAAATGATGCCTGCCCCAATCCAGAGGGCTGTCCCAGAGGCTGCCCACCACAGGACACCCTCACCCCTACCCCCCAGCTTGCCCTCATGAATACACACTAAAAAGACTTATTATGGGCAGATAAGGAAAACAGGAAGTGCTTCTGAAAGCTCCCAACAACCCACCCTGTGAACCACCCCACCCCCTCCAGAGGCCACTGTCTTTAGCAAGGAGGCCACCAGCCCCCTCTGCAGCTGAGGAAGAGCTACTGTGACTCAGACCCAGAGAGTACTGTTGGGCCTGCAGCCGGGAGGCGGGCCACAGGCAGGGGAGTCAAACTGCTGTATTCTGGGCACAATTTCAAGGCCAGCTGCAGGAGAACAAGCAGTCGCTGTGCGCCTGCAGCTGGCTGTGGTTAGGCCAGGGCTGTCCCTCACTTGTGGTGTATTTAAAGAGACCCCACTAGATGACTGTGCCAACAGGAAAAATGCACACATATCTCTGTTAGCCACACTCAGTCCCCCTGCCAAGGCCTCTCCTCCTTCAGTGGCAGGGCCCAGGCAGTGTGTAAGTGTGTGTAATAGAGAAGGGCTGGCTCCTTCCCTCTCCCAGGTATAGGTGACTACAGCCAGCAGCCACATACCAACTGGGACACATGCCCCTGGCTCCTGGGCCCCTCTGCTCTCTGACCAGGCTGGTGTAAGGTTCAGGGGATTACCCTGAGCCTCCTACCCTGGTAATCCTGCAGTGAAGGGGAGAGGCAAGCAGAGGAGTCAAATACAGCAGCATGCATTTTGTTTGTGAAAACTTGCCCAGTTCCCATCTGAGGGCAGGGGCAGGGCTTTCCTGCGCTGCTTCAGGCCAAGTGCCCCTCAGAGGGATGCCCGGGCCCTGTGGACTGCTCATGGAGGCTGGGAGGCAGAGCTGAGGGGCCAGGGGAGCCTGGCCTGGTGGAACTCTCTGGCTGCCCCTTACACTTGCTTTTCTTGAGTGAAATAAGGTTACAGGCCTGAATCCCATGGGAAGGTGAGGTTGGGAGCTAAGAGCCCTGGGCAAGAGAGCCGCTGGGCCTGAGGTTTCACACAGTGGAGACAGAGCGGTGTGGATAGAAGTCTGGGCCAGAGACCAAGGAGGGTCCTCACAGTGATCAGTGAGAGGACTTCAATGAGAGAAGAGCAGCCCAGCAGAGGTGGGGTGAGGGGGTGGGACGCCGCCAGGCAAACTGTCTAAGGCAGGCTGCTACAAGTGTGGCAGAGTTAGTAAAACATGAGTGCACCGACAGGATCAGCTACATAATTCATGGAGCCCTGTTCAGCATGCAAATGCTGGGCTCTTTGTTTAAAAGATTATCAAGACATTCCAGACAGTAACAGAACATTAAACTGAGGGCCCTTCTGAGCACAGGGACCTCTGTGAAGGTACAGGTTACATGCCCGTAAAGCTGGCCCTGAGTGCTTATGAGTCAGATGCTGTGAAAACTGATGCATCTGAGCTGAGGGATATCTGGTCACTTCTGGCTTCAACCCCCATACTGCCCACCCCCACTGCCCTGTGGCCACCAGTTCCTAGACTTTTACCAGGTTTAGGACATTGCCTATACCCCAACAGCAGCCCCTCTCCCTCTGCTGGTGATAATTGAGTCTTCGCCTCTGAAAAGGAGGAATAGCTAGGCTATGGTGGGAGAGGGGCTGAGGGAATGGACAGGGACTCTGAGTCTTCTGGGCCTCTGGGTCCCAGAGCCCCAAGGACTGTCCAGATAGGCCAGGAAAGCCAGGTCCAGCACTTGGGAGCCCACTGAGTGAGGTCATGGAGGTGTTTGGGAACAGGATGGAGAAACAACATATAGGTAATGCTCTATGTTACCTCTTAAGGACCCAGAGGATATGTCCTCTGGGTGTGTGACAGTCCAATAGCAGAACCATGGCCCAGGAAGCCTTCTCCCCATTTGAAAACTTACCTCCAATTCTATGTGGTCATGGAGTTTCTTGCAGGTGGCAGCAAAGGTCTCCGAGGTGCCAAATTCAAAGTACCACAGCTTGTTCTTCATCCTGGACCATGAAGCAGAGAGATGGCTCAATACTCTCTATTTGAATGGGTCATGTAAAACAGCTATGTGATTTGGATTGGGAGGCCCAAGTCCTCAGCATTCCTCAATCTCAGATTTGTATCCCTTGTTAATTAAGGAATAGAAATTTTTACCCACTCTTCTTGCTAAGAACTTAAAGAAAATCCACTCATTTCTTAGACATCATGGCAACTCTGGCTGAACTGCCAATTGACCTCTGAACTTCCTGGTCAGAGCAGGAGAAATGGTCAGCCATTTGCTTGGCCGTGTATCTGCATTAAGGAGAGAGTTTCATGAAAAATCAAACAGAGGTGGCAAATACTGACAAGCATGCTGTGGTCACTGTCCTTTCTATCACTAATTCAGGTGTTTAATATATGTTGGTAAGATCATACAGGTACATGAGGCTGTATAGTCTTAGGATAGAGGAGGGATAGCCCAACTCCCACCCAGCAGAAGTGTGTGCTTCCGAGCCTGGGCTCCGACTGGGAGAAGTACAGTAGACAGAATTAGATACAGATTTGCAGGCAAGTTGGAAAGAGAAGAAAAAAAGGTGAGAATCACCCTCCCCCTCTTTCTTATATTTGATGAAGCCTCAACAATCCTTCGTTTAATGATAGAACTTGTCATGTGTGTTTCAGAATAAGAGTTCACCACTTTGAGCTTTAAATTTTTTTAACATTTTCCTCAGGAGGAAGAAAAAAAATCAATCAATGGGGTTCCCACATAGCTGGGGCTTTGCAAAGTCAGATGGTGTGTCCTGACACTTGGTGGTTTTGATCAGATGGTCTCACCAGGAAGTGTTTCTGAAGGTATCCCATCCCTTCCACCCCAACTGTCACCCCATTATCAGGGCTGGCTGAGAGAGGGGACACCTGTCCAGTTTATAAGCTGACAGATTTTCCTAAGGAAGGATTAAACAAAATCACATTCTTCTTGGCACTCAGGAGAGAGGAAGCCACTTTGCATCTTGCTAATCCTCTCTTCAGATTTGTAGACCAAGGAGAAAGGAGCATTCTTCAGAGGGAAGAGGACTCTTTATTTCTTCCTAGTTTTCCTCAGGCCATAGCAGATGACTCTTTGGAATAACACATACAACTCCTTTTCTCTGCATTTCCCCAAGAATCTACCTAGACCTTGAAGATGAGACTATGTTCTTCCATATGTGATGACTGAGCTATTTCCAGTTCGTTGGGAAGTAGCTTTTCTACCTCTTACTGTGCATGAAAAGAAATGATAAACAGTGAGGGAAATTAGATTAAGAAAGGGCTAGGGAATTATGCCTCATGAAAAAACTTAGAACTTCAAACAGACCATTGTTGCTCAACCAGTGTGTTGTAACATAGGTAGGCCTAAGACATCAATCTCCTCAGCCTTCACAGTGGCTGGGTGGGGTTGGGGCAGGCTGAGCCCTGGTGCCACACCAGGCATTTTCATCTGTTTTCCTAGCCAGACAAATGTCTTTGCTTACTATGAATGCCATGACACACAAAAAATTGGGAAACATTGTTCTAGATCACCAGTTCTCTGTATGCACAGTCAGGTGTGTACATAAATCACCTGGGATTTTATTAAAATGCAGATTCTGATTCAGTTGGTTTAGGGCTGGGGCCCATTTCCTAACAAGCTGCTGATGCTGCTGGTCCAGGGATCACACCAAGGGTCCTCAAACTTTTTAAACAGGGGCCAGTTCACTGTCCCTCAGACCATTGGAGGGCCGGACTGCGGGTCCTGGGATGAGTCGGCTGCTAAGCAGGACAGGCAGTGGTGGCAAAAACACCCGGCGGGCCAGATGAATGTCCTTGGTGGGCCGCATGTGGCCGGTAGGCTGTAGTTTGAGGACGCCTGGATCATACTTTGAGTGAAACGAATCTAGAGACTGCACCTGTGGTTCTCAAAGGTTCCTATGAATTACCTGAGGAATATGATTCAAATGTTGCGTCCAAGGCTCTCATCTGTAGAGATGTGATGTTGGGGAACAAGGCCCCCAAATGTGCATTTTCATGAGCATGCAGGTGATCATCATGCAGATGGTCAGTGGACAGGACTTTGAGAAATATTGCTCCAGATCCCAGCGAAAGGAAAACCATGGAAAAGGATAGAACCAGTTAAACCTGAAGGAGAGGATTCTCTAGGGAGAATTGAATGAGGGTCAGTTCCTTTTAATGGGCAATGATGGCTAAAGACCAAGTAACAGGAAAAACACAGATTGTCATAAATGCCAAGGTTGAGAATTCCTTTCCGGTAGCAAGAGCATCTCTGTAGCCAGGAGAGTTGCATTGTGATTCCATTTTCAAATATCACTGCTGGTCTGAATCATGACTTTTGAAAGTTATTGCCAGAAGATTTAGAGTTTTAATAAATATTTCCAGAAGCCACAGCTATTTTTGCCCAGTAGTGGCTCTTCTCATGATCTAATAAGGTTAAGAGGTCATGGTTAGGTCAGTATAGCAGAATAACTGAGAGGATCAAATGGACTTCTCATCCATCATTGGCTGCATACCCTTTGGTGAGTTATTTAACCTTTTAAAGCCTTAGTTTCCTCATCTGTAAAATAGAAGAAAAACATCTGCTTTAAAAGGGATTGAAGGCTGGGCATGGTGGCTCATGTCTATAATCCTAGCACTCTGAGAAACCAGGCTGAGCAAAAGCAAAACCCTGTCTCTCTTAAAAATGGAAGAAAATTAGCCAGGCATTGTGGTGAGCACCTGTAGTCTCTCTTACTCGGTGAGCTGAGGCAGGAGGATTGTTGAGCCCAAGGGTTTGAGGTTGCTGTGAGGCAGGTTGATGCCATGGCCCTCTAGCCTGGGCAACAGAGTAAGACTATGTCTCAAAAAACCACCCACAAAACATAACAAACAAACAAACAAATGAAAAAGAATGGTATTTGAGAAGATTAAATGAGATGATAGCAAAGCATTTCATATTACGCTTGGCTCATAGTAGGCTCACCAAGACTGTTAGCGTTTACTTATTAGCTGTTGTTACTTCAGTGTCTTGAGTAGGCATATCTGAATAACACAGTAAGGCAAAAATGACAGCTCTGCTTGTGTAGCTGTAGATATTATATATTCATATTTTTCTGGGCAAGAAAAATATGTGATCATGTTTTTTAGATGGTGTATCTTGACTTTTGGTTTAAAAAAAATGTTCCTGGCTTGGTGCTTATAGCTTAGTGGCTAGGGCACCAGCCACATACACCGGAGCTGGGGGTTCGAACTCAGACCGGGCTTGCCAAACAACAATGACAACTACAACCAAAAAATAGCCAGACATTGTGATGGGTGCCTATAGTCCCAGCTACTTGGGAGGTCGAGGCAAGAAAATCACTTAAGCCCAAGTGTTTGAGGTTGCTGTGAGCAGTGACGCCATGGCACTCTACCAAGGGTGATATAGTGAGACTCTGGCTCACAATAAATAAATAAATAAATAAAAATGTTCCTCACATGTCTAGTTTTAATAGATTTTTCCAGAGTCAGAACCCAGACCCCAATCTTTGATTAATTATCTTGACTGGTCACACAGCTGGCTAAAGATGTGATGTTGATTGCTAATATGCTTCTGAGAAAGTGCATGTTTGGGTGAGATGAGATATTCACCAATTCATTCATTCATTCATTGTGCCGGTGGGTAGAGAGGGTATGCTAGGTACAACCGAGAACAAAACACAGCGCTTCAGGAGCCAGACTCCTGGGAAGGACAATGAAGCAGAACTAAGCACTAAGGTACAGAGGAGGTGGGACACCTGGTTCTTAACTGGGGTGAGAAAGTACCGTAGGGGGTGATGCCAGAGTTGTATTCAGGATGTAGAAGGGAAGCATGGAAGGTGGTGGGTGACGACTGCAGATAGGGGAGAAGCCCAGGCAATGGGACAAGCAACAGACAGAATAGCCTTGCTGGGAGGACATAGAACTCAAGGTGGACCTGCCACCTTGGTGGCAGATAGAGCAAGTTGGTGAAGGGTGTGGATGCCATGCTTAGGTATTTGGGCTTATAGGGGGTCATGGACTATCCTTAAGTGGGACCGAGGGTGGGGTAGTGGGAGTAGTGATTGGATCAGATTTGTGTTATTTAAACATCATTCTGTCCCTGGTGTGGAACATGGATTGGCAGGGTAGGTACAGACTGAAGGCTTGGAAAGTAGTTTGGAGTTGGTGTGAGAATCCAAGAGAGAACTTGGAAGGGCCTGAACAAAGCTAGAGATGGTAGTATTTGGGGGGATGTGCAAATTTGGGGGAGACTCATGAACTAAAGTTCAGGAGATAAAATTGACAGAGCTGATTTGTTGTAAGGGGTGAGCCAGAAAGAGTCGTCAAAGTGACACTCAAGTTATTGTCTTAGCAAGAAAGATGGCAGGTGTCATTTCCCAAGGGAGGGGCACAGAATATCAATTCTCTGGTGGCAGTTTTGGGCCCATCTGCCTGTTCACTCATTTATCCATCCGTTGAACATTCACTAAGTCCTACTATGGGTCAGGTGCTGAGTGACGATTAAGACATACATGACCCCTGCCTCACAGAACTTCTACACTTTTAATAGCTTCACCAAGATTCTAACATTCATGGCTTGGTGCTCATAGCACAGTGGTGGGGCCACCGGCCACATGCACTGGGGCTGGTGGGTACCCGGCCAGGGACTGCTAAACAATAATGACAACAATAATAAAAAATAGCCTGGAATTGTGGCGGGTGCCTGAGGTCCCAGTTACTTGGGAGGCTGAGGCAAGAGAATTGCTTAAGCCCAAGAGTTTGAGGTTGCTGTGAGCTGTGACACCATGGCACTCTACCCAGGGTGACATAGTGAGACTGTCTCAGAAAAAAAAAAGAAAGAAGGGTTCTAACATTCAACCCCTGACCCACAGGAGATGAGACGTGGGTTTCAGATCTGCTCAAAATGTAGATGGTTCTATTTCTCCTCTTTCAACTCAGGCACTTTTTGGTTAGACGTGGATACATTCTATGCCCATGGCCCTTTGGTTTTGCC